GCTGTCGTTGTTTCCCAGGTTCAGGAGTTCGAGCATGTGAACGGTCAGTGGTCGATGCCCTGGATGGCCGAGCTGGAGGAGAGCAAGAAGGCTGCAGCTCAGCCCGACTCGCCGGGAAAAACCCCGTCCACCGGCACCCCCGCCGACACACAGCCCAACACACCTGCTCCAGGTAACACACACACACACACACACACACACACACACACACACACTGCTCTTTTTACGGGAACTTTACAAAGTTAAAACAACATAATGAATGAATCTGTTTGTCTTTGTAGTTGACGACGCCTCCTCGAAGACTGACGAGGCAGAGAAAGAAGTGAAGAAAGAGGGCGAGGCGGAGAAGAACGGCAAAGAGCCCACAAAGGCCAGCAACGAGGTAAAGACACGATGATGTGTTTGAGTGACGTAACTAAAAGTAGGATCTTCTCATTCTGCGTTTATTTTTTCACGATGCTTGACGAAATCGATTTGTTTCCCTCCAGGTGATCGCCATCCCAGACGACGACGAGAAGAGTCCGACAGCGGAGCCGGAGAGCAAGAAGAACGGAGAGGAGCCGATGGAGACGGACAAACCGAGCAACGGAGAAGCAGAGACCCTTAAAGAGACGGAGGGCGAGAAAGAGAAGGAGGGAGAGGGCGAAAAGAAGAGTCCAGAGGGAGGAGAGGAGACAAAGTCGCCTTCAGAGGCCAAGACGGAGGGGTCAGAGGTCAAATCTGAGGACTCTGAGGTCAAAGGTAAAACAGTTTGTTCTGCTTTTACTATTTTCACAACAATTTCTCATCAGTATTGTTCAATTTTTATTTTTCACAAAAACAAAGCTCAGCAACTTACTATTCTGTATTTAAAGCAAAAGCACAACCACATCAAACGGGTGTAGCAGCTTAAGCCAGCGTTGGCTGAATTTTAACAGAACGTCATTTTTAAACTTGCACATCTCTTCCACTGTTGTGCTCGCTCTCTCACTTTCCAAACATTAATTGTATGAAATTTAGGATTCACGTCTCCAGACTGAGTCACAGACAGTGATTCTGCAGTCTGACACAAACTTTACTGCAGTGTCTTTGTCTGAGTGTAACCTGCTGAAGTCGCTGTTTAAAGTCCCTGTCGTCTTTATTTTGTCCTCAATGTTTCCCTCTTTGTTTCCGTCTGTTTTGCAGCAGAAGAAAAGAAAGAAGAAAAGACAGAAAAGATGGACACCACTTCTCCTGCTGACGAAAAGAAAGGTACCAAACCCCGCACTGTTTTTCTTTTTAAATATTTCACCCTGGACAGCGTAATGAAGGACATAACTTCAGTACAGCTCAGTATCGTTCTCAGGTTAATCCCCTGATGTCTTCACGCCCTGTCGCCTGTCGTCGTTAATTGTCTCCTTTCACCCTCCTGCTGCAGATCTGAAGGAGGAGAAGGAGGCTCAGAAGCCGGAGGAGGCGACCAAACTGCAGAACGGAGACAGCAGCAAGGAGAGTGGCGCCTCAGTGGCCGCCACCGCCACCACCACCACCACCGCTACCTCTACCGCCACTGCTACTGCCACTGCTACTGCCACTACTGGAGCAGCCACCGAGGAGAAAAAGAAGGCAAAGACCAGATTCATGTTCAACATCGCAGACGGAGGTTTCACAGGTAAACACACACACACACACACACACACACAGAAACACACACACAGAAACACAACGGCTATACATTTGTTTCCATTATATAACTGACGTCTTTTTCTCTCTCTCTCTCTCTCTCAGAGCTTCACTCTTTGTGGCAGAACGAGGAGCGCGCCGCCACTGTTACCAAGAAAACCAATGAGATCTGGCACCGTCGTCATGACTACTGGCTGCTGGCTGGCATCATACAGTATCCTTTCCCCACCTGTGATTGGCTCACTGCTCTTGCTGGGTGTGTGTATGTGTGTGTTGGGGGGGGTTGTAATAGGCAAGGGTTGTTTTGTCCACTCAGAGTAGTTGTTCCGCTTAACCAAGGCTTCTCCCAGACACGGTTACGCTCGCTGGCAGGACATCCAGAACGACGTGAAGTTCGCAATCCTCAACGAGCCTTTTAAGGGAGAGATGAACCGAGGCAACTTCCTGGAAATCAAGAACAAGTTCCTCGCCAGGAGGTTCAAGGTAGGTTGGCCTTCATAGACTGAGAGAATTACATTACCGTTGAATTTGTTTGTTTGTTTGCTCCCTGGTCCCTTTTTCCCTTTTTAAAGATTCTGGTTTTTAAAGATTAAAATTAAAAAAAAAAAAAGCTGTGGGTTCTGTGGCGTAAATTTAAGCAGTAAATAGAAACACTTAACGACTAAATCAACCCAAGACCTCAAAACTTTAGTTCTTTAACACCAAACCAGCAACTCAGTTGATACGCATTTTACGGGGGGGCCACCTCTCCCCCCCCCCAATCCAGCTTTTGGAGCAGGCGTTGGTGATCGAGGAGCAGCTGCGCCGCGCCGCCTACCTCAACATGTCAGAGGACCCCTCCCACCCCTCCATGGCCCTCAACACCCGCTTCAGCGAGGTGGAGTGTCTGGCCGAGTCCCACCAGCACCTGAGCAAGGAGTCCATGTCCGGGAACAAACCGGCCAACGCCGTCCTCCACAAAGGTGAGGCAGAACGCAGGAAGTGGACAGGAAGGGGTTTTCTATACACACAGATCAAATTAATTAAAATATTAATATTTACCCAGTTGGCCAGTATGGTTGAGGTTATGGTTTAATTTCAGTTTCCTGATGTGAGAGTGACGAACAGCAACTAATTCATTCGTTATTACTTTTTCCTACTTTACTGGTGCTTCTACTCATTTATTTACCCTTCTATTCATTATCTTAAATAGTTTTTATGTTCTGCTGAATGCACTATAAATGTAACCTGCTGCAAATCAGAAATACTTTAATAATCCCAGGGGGATATTATTTAATAAAAATAACATCGAGTTAAAACGCATCCTCAGATCAGAACATAACATTCTGGAGTTGAGGGAAAATCTAAAGTGAAGGAAATTAAACTATTTTGGGGAATAAAAGAAACCTGATCATAAATGAACGAGCACAGATGTGTCCTGAAGACCCGACAGTGAGCGAGCGACTACAGGTCTTTATATATATCTCTTTCTCTCTCTCAGTGCTGAAGCAGTTGGAGGAGCTGCTGAGCGACATGAAGGCAGATGTCACCCGCCTCCCAGCAACCATCGCCCGGATACCGCCGGTTGCCGTGCGGCTGCAGATGTCAGAGAGGAACATCTTGAGCCGGCTGGCGAGCCGAGGACCCGAGACACAGACGCAGGCACAGACACAACAGGTACACACACAACAGGTACACACGCGCACACACACACACACACACACACACACACACACACACACGGTTATATTAACCATAAGTGTATTTCCCAAACTGTGTAACTGTTCCTTTAAGATTTAATCAATAAAAACATGTAGAAAAATCAAATTAAAGTAACGTTGTTGTTTCCGTTTTCCCTCCTTCAGATGTCGCAGCAGTAGACTGAAACTCTACTCGTTACCTCGAAAACCACCCCCTGCCTCACCTTGACATTCCTGATTGGTGCACAGCAGAATAATGGACAGCGCGCTCAAGCTTGAAGCCACGCCCAGTTCACTTTCCCCCCCTAAACAGACTTTTTCTGGAGGGTCGAATCCCTTCCCGATTTGAGGCTGTGGACAGAAAAGCTATTTTATTTTTTTCCTCCTTTTTTCAATTTCTGTATTAATATTATTGATATAATGTTATTATGATGGTTTTTTGGGACCTAAATAAAAAAATGTAATAAAGAATTTGTCTGTGGTCAGTTTTAGGGTTGGTGGGCAGGGATGGTCACACTGGACCAGCTTAATTGGTATAAAGCCAAGATCATTTTATTCTTAAAATCCTCTGTTTAACGGACTTCTATCATTTTTTTTAGGTGTAATTTCTTTTTACGATCAATTTTTTACTAACAATAAGAAATGCTGGTTGAATTTTGGTTTTCCAACACAAATTTTAAGGTGAGTAAAAGTGAAACTGAAATGTTGGCTTTAAATCTGAGTCCATGAACGTGTTGGGTAATCTGTGATTATATTCCCTCCATGATATAACTTTAATTAGACTTTACTCATATTTCAGAATAAAGTTCATCTGTCCTTTAATTTTGTTAATTTTGAGATGATAGAAGTTTATTTCCCCATTTCTGTTTATATTAATATTTTCCAAAGATGAAACTTTTCCCAAAAGCATCTTAAATTAAATGAAGGAAAACTGCGGGGGAATAAGAGGAGACTGGAAAAGTTTCTGGGTTAAATGTCTTTTTTCTGCTCGAGGAGAAAATCTCCTTCCTGAAGCGTCATACAGGAGAGCTTTCTTTATTCTCTCCAGGCGTTTAAAAACCACTTTTGTCCTAAAATTGTGACTTTTTCATTAAAGTAAAGCAATAATCTCCCTTCCTTAAACCACCTCACCAATTTTGGTTTATTTTATATTTTAATGGCAGTTTTATTTCCTCATTCAGACGAGCTGACAACAAAATTACAGTTTACAATATGTAAAAAGAAATGAAGTATTAAAGACATCAATCAAACTGAAAGATTTACTACATTTTCTTATAATTCATTGGTTTGTCTCCAGCTGTCTCACCATTTTTTTGCAGCTTTGAGCAGCTCCTCAGTTTTCCAGGGTGAAGATAAATTCAAAACCTGCTTAGAATCTGAATTAAAACAAGGCAACTTTTTATTATTACAATTCCTCTTTAGAGATCTATGGAAGCCCATTTCTGCCCAAAAAAAGATTCTGTAATTCATAATGAGAAACTCAATATTTTGACTATCACTAAAAAATACAAAGAAATATTCTTATTAAATTATTGACTTAAAGAAACTATTTTATTTCCCATCACATTGGCAGAATTGGGCTTCCATAAGAGGCAGATGAAGACTTTGAGAGAAACATTTGGGTTCATTTCCAAAAGCAGGATACATTGAAAGAACTTAAATGAGGACACGAACACGACATTTCTGTTGCAAACATGAATTTATTTGAAATTCCAGCCCACAATCAGAATATCAGTGCCTGTAATCTTTAAATGTCAAATGTTCCTCACGTTTCCTGACCTTGTATACAACCAGCAGTACTGAAGCACTGACAGTGGGATTAATGCTCAGCTTCACTCATCCACAGTTTTCAATCTAATCATTTCTCCTCACATTTTCAATAATCAAACCTTTATTATCTACAGTCTCGTGGTAGCTAACCCACACTCACTCAGAATCCTTCATTACAGAGGAATCACATTCAAGCAAGTTCAGAAGAAAGAAACATTCAAAACCACAACTGTGGTTCACAAAACAGGTTGGTTCACAAGACGACAAGAAGAAAATCAGGACTGTTGCTGCATCACAATAACTCAAACTGACGCTGGACAGACGGACAGACGAACAAAACCTGTCAAATTCCTGCTCCGAGTGGAAATACGTCAGTAGCAGTACCAAAGCTGACAGCAAGGGGGCATCGTTCCTGAACAATACTGTACAAGAGGACAGAGAGGAAAAAGCAGGATCCATTAACCCAGCTTCAACTCAACATCATCGGCTGTGTGTTCACTGTGTCAGTTTAGAGTCAGATTCATGTCAAATAAAGCAACTGATCTTACGTTAGTGGGTTATCTTTTAGAAATTGTGTATTTAGTCTGAATCTTTCTTGATCTTAATCTAGAGACTATAAGACTAAAGCTTGTTTTACAGCCCATGAATGAATGAATGAATGAATGAATGAATGAATGAACAGAACAAGTACGAGTACTTTTACTTTGATACTTTAAGTTAAGTAAGTTTTACTGATAAAACTTTTACTGAAGTAGGATTTTAACTGCAGGGCTACATTTATATTACTGAATTTACTTCAGTAAATGAAATGACTATATATTATATAATATTTTATTCCCTTTTGCACAAATATGAGAAAAGAATCAAACACTAGCCAGAGAGAACGGGTCGTGTTACATGATGTTTTAGATGCTTTCAGTTTCATGTCAAACTCGTCCGTCGTCCTTGATGAACAAACCTGGGTCAATGGATTTTAGACCTGCAGCAAGTTCTGTTTGTGTTTGGCTACAAGAAATGTGACACTTCACAGGACAATACAGGAAGAGAAAGTGAGTTTAGTTGAATTAGCTCTGAACTGAAACTGTCCTGATGCTGTAAACCCATCTGGTGCTCCCAGCAGACATCACATCCACCGGTGGTTCCACTCAGGGTTTCTGTCTGGAGACACGAGAAAAAAAGAGAAGGAGGCACTGGAGCACATTACAGACCATGCATGGAAGTTTCTGAGGAAGGCATCAGTGAGGAAGAGGAGGAGGATGAAGAGCAGCGGGAGCAGCTGAGGAGAGGCTGGATTTGGCTCGGTGGTGTTGGTGCAGACTCGTCCTGCGACTTGTGTGTCCATCCCTGAAGACCAGCTCAGTAGAAGAAATACACTGCGGACGGAGAGCGGAGGGACGAATGTATGAAACTCACATTAACCACAACTCTTACAGGGCCAGTGGGAGGGATGTAGTGGCATCTAGTGGTGAGATTGCAGATTGCAACCAGCTCGCCTCACCCTCAAACTACAGTGAAATCTGGATCCAGGGTTATTAACTTAACATAAATTATTCAATTTTTTATTTTTATGGAACTCCACAGCTACTGTTTCCTGTGAAACACCAAGACTACAAACCTTTTACAGCCACTTTAGATCTACAGGAGGGTTGATATTAAAAGATTAAAAGTGAAGCTTGATTACTGTATATGACTAACATGTGTGTGTGTGTGTGTGTGTGTGTGTGTGTGTGTGTGTGTGTGTGTGTGTGTGTGTATACTTACAGAAGATGACTCCGAAACATATAACACCTATAACTGCCATCATGATCATCATCTGGAGGAGAAACAGAAGTAACAAAGTCAGAATAAAAACTGCACGTAGGTGAATAAACAAGGAGGCTGAAAAAATAAAAATCTTCTTTTGTTTCTCAAATCAGTAAAAATAAATTTTAGCCTCAAGCAAGTGTATTTATTAGTAGGAAATTAAGGGACATGTTGGAGTACTCAATTAAAAGTATCCCGATATCACTGAACTGACTACAAATTTGTACTTAAGTACTCTAAGTAAATGTACTTAGTTACATTCCACCACTGCTACAACATGTTTTATATATAAAAAGAAAATTCAGACCATGTTATATTGTTTTTAGGTTTTTGTCGCCCAAGACTCTCTCTGTCTTTTGTTTGTTTGTTTGTTGTACAATATGTAAGGTTACACAACACAGATAGAGTAAGGTGTGTGTGTGTGTGTGTGTGTGTGTGTGTGTGTGTGTGTGTGATGCTCCATAAATAAATCCACATGATGACGTGAGAGTCAGAGCTGCTGACAGACAGGAAATCACATCACCTCTGATGGGGGGAGGGCGAGAGAGATTAACAATAACAAGGGGATAGGGAGAGAAAGAGAGAGAGAGATTGGTACTGCCTTGGTGTGTGTGTGTGTGTGTGTGTGTGTGTGTGTGTGTGTGTGTGTGTGTGGTGTGTGTGTGTGTGTAGAGCAGAGAGAAACCAGATGTTAGCAGATTGATTGGGAGCTTGTTTGTTTGTGTGTGGAAATGAATGAAAAAGAATTAAAGGCTCAACTTTATTCTACATTTTTCTTATTTTGAACAAATTACAAACAAACAGCTTCATATTTAAAAAAAGCCTTCAGTAATTTCCTAAAACAGCTGCTGACTGAAGCTTTCAGCAAACAAACAGGAAGGAAACAGTGTGTTTGTTCGGGGACTATTTTCAGAGGCGGATTCATCCACAGGTGGTGCTCTAGCGTATGTGTGACTGAGTCAATATAAACTACAGTGTGTGTGTGTGTGTGAGATATAATAGGTCATCAAACCTCCCCCAAACCAACACAAAGAACACAACCATGGCGTTGTGAGGGTTAATATTAGAGACTGTGGGCCGCATTACGTCAGCGAGGGTCCTCACAAGTATAGAAGTGTTTGTGGTTTTGTGTGCATTGGTGGAGGGGGGGTGGGGGGGGCGGTAGGTGGAGTTATATCACAAATCACAGCTGGCTCTTTAATCCCCGACTGTCACTGTAATCCAGATTGGGATTTCTCTCTCTCTGACTTCCTGCTCGCTGTCAGTCAAACTCTCTCTCTCTAATGTAATCCTCCTACACGGCAGTTTCTGATTGGATGAGGCGAGACGGCGCCGTCCGTTCGTCAGAGGCGGAGCGCTGGATGGACTGATGCTGAGATAAAAATGGATTGGCAGTGAAGGGGCGGATGGATGGATGATGGATGGATGGATGATGGATGGATGGATGATGGATGGATGGATGGATGGATGATGGATGGATGGATGGATGGATGATGGATGATGGATGGATGGATGGATGGATGGATGATGGATGATGGATGGATGGATGGATGGATGATGGATGATGGATGGATGGATGGATGGATGATGGATGATGGATGGATGGATGGATGATAGATGGATGGATGGATGGATGATGGATGATGGATGGATGGATGGATGGATGGATGATGGATGATGGATGATGGATGATGGATGGATGGATGGATGGATGGATGATGGATGATGGATGGATGATGGATGATGGATGGATGGATGGATGGATGGATGGATGATGGATGGATGGATGGATGGATGATGGATGATGGATGGATGGATGGATGGATGATGGATGATGGATGGATGGATGATGGATGGATGGATGGATGGATGGATGGATGGATGGATGGAAGGATGGATGGATGGATGATGGATGGATGGATGGATGGATGATGGATGATGGATGGATGGATGGATGGATGATGGATGATGGATGGATGGATGATGGATGGATGGATGGATGGATGGATGGATGGATGGATGATGGATGGACTGTGTGATGGAGGTGAATGAGAGATAAAGATGGCGGCTGATCCAGGACTCAAACTGAACTTTGTCTCACATGGACGATAAGTTCCTGGTTTTAGTGGAGGATTGTAACAAAGTACATTTACTGAAGAACTGCACATTCAAAGTACTTTACTTGAGTATTTTCATTTGATACATTTTCAACTTTAGTTACTTTTTAGATTTTTATACCTCCAGTCCAATGAAATGTCCAGATGTGTTGATTTTGAATGTTTAAGTAAACTGTTTAAGGATTATCTGGAAAATGTTGTTCATGGTTTTATAGGATATAATGCATTAAACTACCAGCAGCATATAAAGCAGTTGAAATGAGCTCAACCTTTAACATCTACAGCAGTAAAATTCACATTAATGCAGCAGCAACATCCAGAAACATCCTATATAATAATAAAACCCATTTACTGCACAATGACTACTACAACGAATATTATAGGAATACTACGAGCGGCAGTGTGTCTCTCTGATCCTCTCGCTCCTCTGCAACTACTCGTTGCTAATTCTCTCTTTGATCATGGAGGTGTTGCTACTCTGTTGAGTACAGAATGGAGGACTGATGGTACATAGTTTGGAGATATCATAGATCAAAGACGAAACTCACAGAAGGGCGCGGCTGTGAATCCGTCTGCTACTTCAGCACCACGGACAGCGCCTCAGATTTACCAGTACAAAGACTACGGATATTGCAGAGCCGAGGTCGGGGCCACAGACTCAATGAGGGTCAGTGAGTCGGGCAGACTAGACCAACATATTAAACTCAACAACCCCTCTGCCCCTGCACTCTGTCTGCCTACAGCAAAATGTAAGTAACGGTTGTTTTTAGCATTTGAAGAGCAGAACGTCAGCTGTCATTTCAACACAAGTGAGAGAAGTTAGTTGGTAAGTTGGAGGGTGTCTGCCCTGTGGGACAGACACAAGTTGCCTCCATCATGTGGTACTCAGAAAAGAAAGAAGGACAAAATACATTTCTGATGAGCAGAGGAGAAAAACAGAATAACTGTGGTACAGGTAACAGATGTGCTGTTTGGAATGATGCTAAATTTCAGGTACTTGTTGTTTTATTAGCTGCAATAAATACACAGTTATGCAATGAATACACAATAATCAGTTGCAGATGAGCTCAGCATTCATTAAAGTGGGATTGAAGCTTTTGATGAAGTTAAACAGAAATCTCTAACCTGGCAGAAAGTGAGGATGAACTGCTTCAGAGTCCAGATCTGTGTTTACGAGCTCTGTTTGACTTCTAATGGAGGTTGAAGTCATCTACATTATGATTGTAGGTGTGTTTGTGCGGAGAAATTCTGTTTATTCTGATTATTAAAAACCTGTTAACTGATCTTTTTAAACTCCTGTTTTAAACGTCTCTCTGTTTCCTCCAGCCTTATTTCTATTATATTTTGTGACTGCAGCTTTTCTGTCACTGTGCACTTTACTCTTACTTCTTTTTTTGTTATTTTCTCACACTGTTTTAAAGTTTTTTCTCTCAGAAAACCAACACAATCACAATTAAATCTCATTATTGGCAGCAGATGAAGTTACAGTAAGGTGATGAGAGGGCGAGCAGTGTACTTCCTGTCTGTGAGGCAGCCCTGTCTCTGTTCACTAATGATACACAGGTAAACTGTCACAGCAGCGTTAAACTACAAACTGCTTCCACAGCTGAAAACCAGGGAGAATGGTTTCCTGGCAACAAAAATCTCATGTTTTCTAATCAGTGTAAGCTGAAAGAAGCTGGCTGGAGTCACATTTTCCCATCTTGACCAAGTGGAGACATGAAATTGTTTCCTACATTTGCATTTAAACTCTCAGATTGATATTTCCCAGCTCTGGTATTTTATTAAATCAACCACAAGCATATTTGCAATCAGTTGCAAATATGCAGCCATTTGAATTATAACTGCTGCAATGTTTTGATCCGTCATGGACAAAATACTTGTTTGAATATGTAGAAATATGTATAATAAAACTATTGTGTCAGATGTGAAATGCATGTATATACATATGTACGTATATGTATATATGCAACAATTAAATGATTACAGATAGGCTGTGGTCACACTGAGGGTTGGATCCTTCAGTCTTTAGGTAATTCTGAATAGGAGCGATGCATGATGGGAAACCAGGTATACACACACACACACACACACACACACACACACACCTTGCAGTTTTTCCACCAGTACTTGTTCTTGAGTTTGGCGGCGCTGCTCTCGAACTGCGAGGCTCCGGCCTGCAGGGCGTCGGCCCGGTCGTCCAGCTCCGACAGCTTCTGGTCCCTCTCCAGGACTTTGTCCACGTTCACGCGCATGATGTCCACCACCTGAGGGACAGCGACACCTGTCAGCATCACTGCCACAAAGCTTTCTGTGAACTCCTCCACGTCGGCCTCAGAAACACCTTTGTTTACCTTTGCTAACCCCATTATACACAGTGATATAGCACATATTATACACAATTTTATAAATTCAATAAATAGTTTTATAGAATAGAAGGGGGCTACAGCTGCATTTCAGTGTGCCATCCTGTGTTATATAATGAGAATAAAACTGAACCTTAAAGGTGCAATAGGTCAAATTTTACATCATTAAATCATTACCAGAACCTTCATTTAATTACTTAACAGAAGAGCTCAGCCTCTTCTTCTTTCAGTGAATGCAATCTTGTTGAAATTAAATAGTTTATGTATTCATTTTGGTCCTACAGGAGACACGTTTATCGCCCAGGTTCTGTGAATGAGGGCCGAATTGTTCAGTTTACATAAATGAAAAAACCTTTACTCTGCGTTTCACACTGCGAGCCATCACATCAGATTTGGAGGGGAGTGCTTTATTGCTTTACTTATAACAGTTCAGTGACGCTGGTTTAGCACAGAGAAAGAAGCTGAGACCATCTTGCGATCTTATTATATATTACAGGATGAGCTTCTTGAACCTTTGAGTTATTTTATCTTTAATTACGGCATCACCTCCCAACTTGAAATCGAGTGAACAAATGCTCTCTAGATGCAATCTGACCGAGTCACCTCCAGTACTGCCTAGCAAGTGTGGGATGGTAGTATGGTATCATTAAGAATTATTTTCTATATTTTCTTATGTTAGCCGCAGTTACTTTTAGCTTTCTTAATTTCATTTATTTGTATGTTTTTTCTGCCTCTCTGTATCTTGTTCCTACTTTCCCTTTATTGATCATTTCATTCCATTATTTAATTACAGCCTACTTATGTTTAGTGTTAGAGCTTTCAGTTCTCCTCAGTAACGTTGTTGCCTTCGACAGTTTGTAGTGAACTTGAACTCGGGGAACACACACACACACCACAGACACACACAGAGCCGTGTCCTCACCTCATCCACCTGCGCCTGCGTCTGCTGCAGTCGTCTGTTGCTGGTGAGGTTTGGGGCCGCGCCCGGGGCCCCCCCCTCACCCTCCGAGGCTCCGGGAGCTCCTTGAGCACCTGCTGCTTCTGGAGTCGACCTGCAGGCCGAGAGCGAGTGTGAGACAGGGAGAGAGGGCGACAGTTAAAGTGACAGAAATGAACTCCATCACGTCATATCTTTACGTACAGAGGTGATTTAGTCTGTTACCACGTCACTAACAGGAGACTGTGTACTCTTTGTCTGTGTCCGTCTTAACTCTGCTAACATCAGCCACCATTAGCTGAGAGTGTTGAACGGACCACAGGTGGATTTTATTGCGTATAAATGTACATTTTCATTTGTAAGAGAAGGAATGACATATTTCTTATTCAAGAAATGTAGTAACATCAGAGAGTTGCACAGATAATACTTGATGTTCACTGAGAGGAGAAATGATAGATCCGACTGAATGCCAAGATCTCTGAGCGAAGGACAGTTGTGATCTTAAATCTATTAATCTGAAGTTTTTGCCATATTAATGAGATAAAATGTTACAGTGACACAAACGGCTCCTTGTGTTTCAGTTATGGGGCTAAAATCTTGTTTGGATCCTGAAAAACTCTCACGAAGAGTTATAAATATAAACAAGTAAATTATAAAAAGTGATTAAAATGTTAAAATGAGCTTCACCTTCACCAGCTGCAACATTAAAGTGATGTTTACAGATTAAAGCTTCAATAACTGCAATCCAATACTATAATATATATTATTCTGAAAGGGCAGAGAGGGGTCTAGATCATTAAATTGATTTAATGATCTGTTATGGCCCCAATTTAGACTTTAGAAAGTTCAGTGAAGTGGAAATAAAACAATGTATTGATTTCTAATGCCACCTTTAGATATTTCTATCCAATGTTTTATACAATAAAATTATGTTTTTAGTTAGAATATCTTCATTTGGAGGTTTTTCCAAGCAAATATTGATGCTTGTGATTAAATCTGAATATTTCTGCCACCTTTAAAGTCCCCGCCCTCTGGCCACCCCATAAATATTCTCTAGATCCGCCCCTGAAATAGGCCTTTTGGCATAATGAATACATTTACTTTAGTATTTTAAGTATATTTTGAAGACTATTCTTGTGTACTTTTACTCAAGTAAACTTTTTAAAGCTTGACTTTTCCTTTACAAGTAATCTGATTACTTCCACATTGTTGCGTTGCTACGCTTACTCTGTCTTTCACTCTCAGCTGGAATATGAAATCACAAACTGCTTATACACAGCATGAATTTTAAAAACACAAAATTCAATAATAGAAACATGACTCATCAAACTCGGGCCTCCATCCATATAATCAAAGTATGAGAGGCTGTAACAGCTCAGCAGTTCCAGGGAATAAAATGACAAAAATCCCCAACAAAACAATATGAAAAACTGTTTGAAATACTGTTGAGCAAACAGCTTTTACAGCACACACACACACACACACACACACACACACACACACACACACACACACACACACAGCAGGTGGTTTGAGGAACATTTACACCGAACATCAGTTCACTTTTATTGCCTCTAATAGACAGGCTTGTTTTCCAGAAGCAAAATGGAGAAAGATTAGTGCAGCAGCAGAGAGGCAGAGAGGGCCGGACCTGACAGAGGGAGATAAACACGCACGCAATAATACCTCCCCCCCACCCCCCCCCCCCACAGGACAAAATACACCAAATAAAATCCTGATAAAAAACATATTTTGGGGTTTTTATATTTAAAAAATTAAAGTTTCTTAGTTGTTTGTAGTTCTGTGAGGTTTTAAGGCACATTTTCTTTTGTTCTAACAGCAGTCAGAGTTCTTCATGCTGCTGTTGGAGAAAATAAGAGCTGATGTAAAATGTAGAAAAGCACTTTAGCCGATCACAGTATTGATGGATAGTTGTGTAGGTGAGTCAGCCGGTGAGTCACTGTTTCCAGATATTTCCACACAGACAACTTTCATCTGAGCAGCAATAAACGCCATAAAAAGCAGCGACAGACAGAAAATATCAACTGCAACTCACAGTGTGCAGCTTTAATACATTCACAGGGATGTTCTATACAATGTGTGTGTGTGTGTGTGTGTGTGTGTGTGTGTGTGGCAATTACACAACTTTAATGTAGGTTAATAAATAGACATTCCTCATAGTTCTGCTTTATATATATTTTAAAATGAATCAAATATGTTGGAGTACTCACATCTCAGCGGCAGGATGATGGAGATAATCTGAGTCCGAGAGAGAGGGAGAGGGTGAGAGAGGGTGAGAGAGAGAGAGGGTGAGGGAGAGAGAGAGAGAGAGAGAGAGAGAGAGAGGGTGAGAGAGAGAGCGAGAGAGAGCGAGAGAGATCCCAGTTGAATATAAATGGAGGATGACTTCAGTCTCTCTCCTCTTAATTCACTTTTTCTTTCAGACCAAAAAGAAAAAACTACAACTGAAGCAGCTGCGCAGATCTCTGCGTCACACTCACCCCGCCCCCACACGCACACGCACACACACCACACGCACACACACACACACACACACACACACACACACACACACACACACACTGTAATAACCGGTAAGGGAAATCAGTATTTGTCTCATATATTAACACACTGTTGCTTGAAATAGCGCTGAGATGTGCCGCGCATGCGCACATGCACTGTAGTCAGTCAATAGGTGTTCACTCAGGTAAGCAGTAAATCGTGTCCACACAGCAGCAGCTCCCTGACTCCACAGGACCCAGTGTAGTTCAGAGTAGTGCTTTATAATGAAGTATAGTTCAGTATTATAAAGTATAGTTCAGTATTATAAAGTATAGTTCAGTATTATAAGGTATAGTTCAGTATTATAAGGTATAGTTCAGTATTATAGAGTATAGTTCAGTATTATAGAGTATAGTTCAGTATTATAAGGTATAGTTCAGTATTATAAGGTATAGTTCAGTATTATAGAGTATAGTTCAGTATTATAGAGTATAGTTCAGTATTATAGAGTATAGTTCAGTATTATAGAGTATAGTTCAGTATTATAAAGTATAGTTCAGTATTATAGAGTATAGTTCAGTATTATAGAGTATAGTTCAGTATTATAGAGTATAGAGTATCTGAGGTCCACATGGTCATCATCATTATCATCATCAGCCGGTTTAGAGATGAAGAATCAAAGTCAGTTTGTATTTGTGTTGTTTATTTGTTAAGATCATGTTAAGATTTGTTTGTGTGTATTTTGTGTGTAAAAGATTTGAGGGTTAATTAGTTGACGTTGGAGATGGTCAAAACAATGAGGGTGAAGACCATGTGATACGGGTGAAAGTTAGTAAGGGGGCCTTGAGTTGCGATCGCTTCCTCACGCTGTTATTTGGGTCAGAATGAACCTTTATTCTGAAAAAAAATAGGTAGATTTGTGACGTGAACTCCGTAGAACACACGGTGATAAAATCAAACGCACCCTCTCAGAGACTCAAACACAGGTGAGTTCATTATCTTCCTCTTCCTCGTGTTTGGTTCTGACATGTTGAGTCATTTGTTTGTTTGTTTGTTTGTTTGTTTGTTTGATTCTGAGGCTGAACTCATGTTTAATCAGATAAATAATCTATAATCGCAGCACCAGAGTGTGAAAATACAAAACTATTAACGATAATGTTCCATTTCCTAATAATCAATAATGATCGGATTATTATTGATCCTTTAATGTGTTCATCACTTTGCTGCTGGAGCTCATTTCAGTTACTTTCTGTAGCTTGTGAATGTTCCTACAGGGATCAATAAAGTTTCAGTATAATCAATAATAATACACAATCATTTATTGGTTTGATTATCCACACTGATATACAAATAATAGGAACAGCTCTCAGTATAATGCAACACAACATACAGCACCTCTCATATTATATTACATTATATGATATATTATATAAGGTATTGTATTTTATTTCATTGTATTTGTTTTTTAATATTTCATTCGATTTTAGGTGGTTTCTGTTTTTCTTGCTGCTCAGCAGAATAATTGAGTTGAGTAACAAATTGAAATTAAACATGTTTCTATTACTTCTCCTGAATTTCATTATTATTTATCTTTTTCCTGATGCTTTTGATCAGAATTTCCCATGTGAGACAAATAAAGTCCTAAATCCTAAATCTTAGAAAAATACTCCAAAAATAAAACTAAAAAGTAACTTTAAATATAAAAAAACAAATGTTTCATTATTTTATCTAAATTGTTATGTGCAGTATTTTGGAATGAATTTGCAGTGCTATATACTATTTGTAGTTTAATATTCAACAATTCATTAAGTTCATCTTTAATTTACAGAATAATCAAGATAAAGGATTATTCAGATAAATGATCAGATAAATGTAGTTGAGTATAAAGTATATATACTGTGTTCACCAATGGAAGAAGTATGTAGCTCATTTACTTCAGTAAAGTAGCAGTACAATATTGCCCTAGTTTGATTATTGATCCATTCTGAAGATTTTAAACAAAAATTCACTAAAAAGGGAATTTTTTAAGACAGAATACTCTCAAACTGGGGGTCGGTGGACTGATGTAAAACCTTTTATGGGGGTCTTTGACATGAAAAAGTTTGTTAATCTATAAAATGTGTCATATTTAATAAACTGATTCATATATTGACTCATACACGTAGAAACTAAAGCTGTCAGATAAATGTAAAGAACAATATCTCCCACGAAGTATAAAGTATCTGCGTATTGTAAAGTACAGTCACTGAGTAAATGTACTCGATTACTTTGTGAGTATGTTGCAGTAGAGGTTCTGTCGTGCTGAAGCAGCTCGGCTGTTTCTTCCTCTCAGCGGCTTTCTTCTTCTTTCTGCTGCTGTTTGGCTGTTTGTTCCTCCTCATCGATTCACTGTGAAGCTGTTTGTTTCGCTGCTTTGGACCCGCTGCGTCTGAGCAGCAGGCAATTAATATCAGATCATTACAGGAGCGAGACGACTGAACTGAAACTAATGGAGCTGATCATTGCTGCCCGAATACATTCTAGTAATTAGTGTAACTAATCAATAAATGACTGTATTGCTGTTCAGTGTTTAGTTTTGTGTAATGGGACTAAACAACCAGTGGAGGAAGTATTTCTCTCATTTAGTAGCAGCAGTTCATACTCAAGTAGTGTACTGAAGTAGACTTTAGAAAAGTAAAAGTACTCTAAATGCAGAGTAATCCTTTTAAGATTGTTATAGATTATTGATAAATTCACCTGTAAACCTAGAATGTATCAAATGATTACACACATAATAACTATCTAGCAGAGGCATCAGCATCAAAATATGTTTAAAGTACTAAAAGTAAAAGTACTCATTATTCAGAATTATAAATATTACATCACTGGATCATTATTATTGATTCACTGACTTGTAAGAATCAGTTTAACATTGCAGCTGGTAAATGTGAATGTTTCTAACTAGATCCCAACAGTGTGGGACAAGTTATTAAAGCTGAGAGATCTCAATATATATGATTTAATTTAACTTTAAAATAAATATTTCTACTCCGCCCCTTTGCTTTGCCCTCTGGCTCAGTAGCACACAATTTATATAAAGGTTACAGGTGAGGCCTTTAGCCATGTGACTGACTTACATATGTTTTATTTGAATGCATCAGTACATACACTGAGCATTAAAGGAAGCTCCTCGCTATTAGAATAGTTTCCCAGTCTCATGTTCTTCCTAAATCTAGCTTGTGACTCCATGGTGACTCACCATTTTCCCTGTTGGGTGTAGCTTTAACCTGCACTTGACCCGAGCGATCACACTGACAAACACAGCCACTGGATAAAAACCAGACTTTAGATTAAAAGTGTCGGTCCTGCAGTGGTTAAACTTTTAAAAACCAGAGCCGATTAAAACGTGTCAATATGTGAGACAGGGATGCAAATACTGTGGAACTACTTTTATGAATGAAAAAACAAAATACATCCATTAATGTTTTGATATTTTGTGTTTGTAACCTGAATCTAAGAAGTAACTTAAGTTATTGGATAAATGTAGTGGAGTATAAGTACTTATAGTACACACTACTGTATATAATAACACCCACAGGGGGGCCTTTCTTTTACTTTTGATACTTTGAAGGACATCGGACTAACAATACTAACTTTTACTTCCTAGCGAGTGTTTACTGTGTGCTTTTGCTACTTTTACTGAAGTAAAGAATCTGAGTACTTCACTACTAGTAATGCATCATATCTGAGCTACATTTAACTAAAATCTGAGTCTGCAAAGTAACTGTAATAAAATGTGGTGGAATCAAAGTATAAAGTAGCTCCAATCCAGTGGAAATCCAATAAATAATGTCTGCCGCTGTAAACAAACTCTCACAACAGAGGTTCTTTCAGTCTTTTATTCTGTGCAACTTTTCATTTTGCTTCAGTAAATTGATCATTCAGCTCTGCACACTGTGACTGAGGAAAAAAACGTTAACGTTAAAGACCTCATGAAAAAACCCTCGTGGCGTGATGGAGAATTCAATCGCAGCTCATAAAAATCCCCCAAACAGCCACAGAGAGCTCGGACACTGTGTTCTTCAGCTTCTTGGGCTCCTGCTGTCCTTCCTGTACCATCTAAAGCTTTTATCTCCATCACACGGTCTAACTCGCTTTCATGAGGTCATCAAGTCTTTTTTTTTTTTTCCTTTCACACTTGATTTATTTCAGTTTTCTCTCCACAGATGCTATTTACATTCTGATAATATAGATGTCAACAGTTCCGGTTAAGCAGCATCTGTACACAGTTTCATGAGGTGAGTGATGTTTGTCTATTTTGCTTTAATGTCGACTGTACACTTGCAAGTTGCTTTGTTTAGTTTCTCCTTGACATTAAAGGAACAGTTCTCAATGTTTTAGTCCATTTCTTCTCTGAGCACTAAGAACTATCTGTAAAAAGTGTAAAATTACAGCGTAGTATACGGAAACAAGCATTTTTAGGGTTTATTAGTCTCATTTTGATGTGATTAGAAGTGTGCTCAGTGGAGAAAACTACAGGACTAAAACTGAAAGTGTTCCTTTAATGAGTCTGTTTTCTGTGGTGAACATGGCAGGTTATTGAATAAGCAGACATTCATTTAATCACAGGTGTGTTTGAAGAGGTGAACTGTGACACGTTCGTTGCAGCACGTCAACAAAAAGTCAGAAAACTGGCACAGACAAAGTAAAAATCCTGAATTTTAAACACACCTCCTGCAAAATGGCTTCAACCCTCCACATCTGTACACACACGTCTTCAAACTCACCTTTTAATCATTGCTGCAGGTGTATTTGCTCTCAAACAACTACAGAAAGACAACTGTTCTTAGTCGCTATGATACTACTAACATGTCTTATTCAGGTCATATCAATAACAACGCTAAAACTAAAAGATGGTCTAAAGAAAATGTTAAACTGCACTGCTTTTGGCTAAATGTACATCAGAAGAACATGAAGCTTACAGCATTATAGTTGAGCATTATACACAGCCTCATTATTTACATTAGATACAATATTTAGCCTTTACAAACTGTACAATTTTTGAGGACAAATACATTTTTAAAATAGTTTTTTTTTTTCACTTTAGTAAAAGGAAAAATGCCCTTAAATTTCTGTTGTCAACCGTCTCAGACGAGTTCTTTCAAATGATCTGTGGCCCGTTATTTCTGCAGGACAAATGTAGGAAACGTTTCGTGTGGGACTTTAAGAGCGATGACTCTCCATTAGTGCTGAGAGCGAATGTTAACGGGGACGTTGGCTTGTGATTGATGGCACATAAATACGACACCTTCCCTTTAAATTAAGCAGCTGTGAGAATCCTCGAACTCTAAAAACTAAACTCACACTCCGCTTAGCAAACAGACTTCAGTTATTAGTTGAACTGACAGTTTAATAATTGACAAAAAATGTATCAGAAATAATTTTGATAATTAATTGTTTAGCAATGTTTAAGCATAAATACCCCATATTGCCTCCTGGAATATGAATATTTGCTTGTTTGTTTTCTGTGGTAGCAGACTGAAGATCTTTGGCTTTTGACTATTTTTCTTTACATTTTATGGAAATAATGGCAAGATTAATCGATAATGAAAATAATCATCAGTTACAGCCCTATATCTTACTTTTATACAGATTCAGTTATTATTATTATTATTATTATTTGTCTTTCACCTGTCTAAACCTCCCATCTGTCAAATGTAAAACAGAAAATCTATAAAAATAATCATCTTTTCTTCTTCCTGCTTGATGATGTAAATAGTCTCAGGAATGGATATTACTGTAGATCGGCCTGTTTACTACAGTATGACATTAACATGGACAGTGTGGTCAGACTGTAGCCAGGGTTTTAGAAAGAGTCCAAATTCCTCCAGTAAACCCCCCAAAAATCTCAGTTTGATCTACCAACATGACGGAATAAATCTGTGGTTCCCAACATTTTCTGGCTTGTGATCCCTTTAAATGAAACCATGTGTCCTCACACAGGTTGCCTGAGCGGTCAGCAGCAGAGAGTGATCTTAGCCTCTCAGAGTGGGTAAATTGTAGAGGCCTGACGAGTAGTAACTCTAAAAAAGAGCAAAGATTACTGAATAAAAATATTATTTTCTTTCTTGTCCAGTCAGTCATCTTGTGACCCCCCCCTTAAAGGTTTCCAAAGCCCATGTTGGGAACTGCTGTCCTAAATGGTGGTACAAATAATTTCTCACAATTCATGAAATACTAAATCCTCATTTCATTTTAACCCAAGAAGATTTCAAGATCTCCTCTTTAAAAACCCAGCATGTGTAATTTGTCTGTAACTGTAGAACATAAACGGCTCCTTAGTGATAAAATACCAAATTTCCAGAAACAATATTGTTACCTTATTGTCCTCAACGGCTACAACCCTGAGTGTTGTTTAGAGTTTCCTATTCAGAGATCTGAGGTTGAGTTCCCAAATGTCTCCTTTTAAAAATATTCTTTTAACTTCAGTGAATGAATAATGCTTTTGTGTACTGCATCATACAAACAGGACAATTAAAACCTTCAAGATGCATTCTCAGGACAGTTTATCAGAGAAGGTGTCATATTTCTCAAATGTTGGATAGCAGTTTAAGGCAAGTTGGGCTTAGATAGTTGGAGATCTGTCAAATAATTGCTGCACCGAAGGTATAATCCCAGAAAATGGCCACTGGGTAGTTCAATATATTAGCAATTAAACTTTCTGCTGTACTTGCAGGATTATAAAATAAATAAAAATACAAATATAAATAAAAACAAGCACTTCCTTTTTATAATAAGTGGAAATTGATTAGTAAAGTTGTTCAAACATATGATCACTCTTAATCACAATGAACAGTTATGTGCAAACTATTTCTTTGTGCATCGCTGCGTCTATGTGCACGGGTCTGAACCTGCAGCTGAAAGGTATCCTTACAGAAAGTGTGCAAATAATTGACTCCTGCACTAAACTAAATGCGTCCTTTTCATCTCAGCAAACAAAATCAGTGAAGATCTTTTTTAAAGTGCCATTTTGTTCTGTTTGACCTTCACTGAGGTGCAGTTACCGCTGATGGCCACAGGAGGGCAGCGGCGGAACTTCAAGTGAGGAATTATTGCCTATTTTGATGAAGCTCAAACAGCCTGGAAAATGTTTAATACTACACATCAGCTTTGTAAGCGAGTTATGGTTTTTGTAAGGACATTGGTGTAACTTTATCATATCTTTCTCTAATTCAGCTGCGGTCATATCAGCTGAGTTTGTGACGAGTACAAATGACCAAACATCATCATACAGGCTGCTTTCAGAGAAGATTAAAAAAAAATAGTTTACATCTGCTGGTTTTAAAATAATTTCTACCACTGAAACATAAGTTTAGATGTGCGGAAGTTCTACAGTTTTCCTCCTCTCAAACAGCCCTGGAGAAGGAGGAGGAGGAGGAGGAGGAGGAGGAGGAGGAGGAGGAGAGCATTCGGGTGACGTTAATTCGGAGTACCAGCAGTGTGTGTTGGAGTGTGTGTTAGGGTTTCCTCCAGGTCAGAGGAGGGATGGCGGCGTTGGCGTCGCAGTAAGAGTCGCTGCTCTCAGAGTCAGCAGGGAGAGCTGGCTTCTTCCTCTCCTTCTCCTCGCTGTCAGAGTCGTCCACCGGCAGCGTGATGAGCGAGGTGGACTTTCTGTAGAGGGAAAAGACATGAGCTTAATGTGGCAGACCTCAGACTAGCACCAGTTATCATTATATTCACAGCTGAGTATGTCTTCCTGGGAGATAAATCCTGGAGTTCTCTGAAGAATAGGACGTTGAATGTCAGGAATTGAACACTATTTGCTGATGCTCTAAAACACATAAATGAAGAATTTGTTTCCATTTCCAAAAACTGATTGTCTGCTGCACCGAAAAAAGATTTTTAACCCGTTTACCAAGTTGTCAAAGATGGTCGCCAGATGAAGCTACTTGAAGCTATTTGTACAGTCAGTACACATTTATCAGTTTTATTTGTTTAAACTATTGTTCTCCTTTTGTAGTTTTCTTTTTGCTCTGCTGATGAGCAAGAAGAGGTCATTTCCAGCAGTTAATCTTAGTTTAGAATTAAAAACTTGTTTCCCAAGAGTCGCAACTTGGGAGTAACTAATATCATTAACAATGGCTCTGTTCTATTTCAGTGTCCCAGCATGCACAATCCCAGAGCCCTGAACACCAAAATGTCTGCAAGTCTTTCAGCATATGTAGGACTATCGGAGTTTTCTCAAGTCTCTTGATTTAGAAAATGTCTAGTAAAACAATATTGTGTACACCTAGCTTAATACAGTCCAATACAACAACCCTGCAGTAAATCCTACTGATGGCTGTAGTTTGTGATGCTGTTGAGTTTTATTGAGTTTAACAGAGATGTTTCTGTTACTTTGTCCACCCCATTAATACCAGGGGTAGAAGGTGGACAAAATATTCAAAAAAACTCTATAAATAGTCATTTAACAGCAGCACAAACTGCAGCGTCCAAAATGATCCTCCAGTTGAATCGACACCTTCTAAAACAAACAGAAACTGTTGGATTACACTGCCTCAGGGTCATTATGTCTAGTGGTTTGTTTTGATCTGTGTGTGTGTGTGTGTGTGTGTGTGTGTGTGTGTGTGTGTGTGTGTGTGTGTGTGTGTGTGTTACCTGTCTCCGCTCTGTGTGATGAGTCTCCTGCAGGTCTCCATCTGGACGTCCAGGCCTCTTTTCATCGAACACATCTCCATGTACTCGTGCAGGTGACGGTTCATGTCGCTCTTTGCTGTGGCCAGTTCCAACTGACAATGAGAGGAAACGCTGTCCGTTAAATCCATGAACACTGACACAATTAGCTCCAATTACTTCAATTAATACCACTAAAGAGACGGGAAGTGGGAGGAGCCATTTCGGGTGCCACTGGTCCCGTTCATTTCTACCCATAGACAATGTTACGAGAAAATATCTGGTTCTTGAATCAAAAAGAAGACATTCACTACGACTCCCAGGGTACATTTGGGCTTAAAATTCAGCTAAAATCAATTTATTTTTCATTTCTAGGTGAATTCAGTAACTATGATGCAGCCTTTTGTTCTGATTTGTAATGACAATGTTGATTCGTGTCTCTACTCCGTGGCAACAAAAGAGGGATAAAACATAATTACCTCAACTTACCTTAACTCAAGCTACGAATAAAACCAGTATGATGTACGTATGTGTACGTTTGTCCCACAATGCAGTGCAGAAGAAATGACTCACCTCTATCTGGTCGATGGTTTCCTGGTATTCTTTCTCTCTGGTTTTAAACAGACACTCTGTGTCTTTAATGACCTCCTCAATGGACTCCTCCTGCTGCTGCAGCTGGATACAGTGAGTGTGTGTGGGGGGAGAGAAAGAATAAAACATTGTCCATTTGATGTTTATTTATTACATTTTCTTTTTTTATAAAATGTGTGTTTTGTGTCCGGTTGGCATATATGTAACACTTTGTTTATCTGTATCTTGTCACTGGTTAAATTAAACCTTAGTAAGCGGAGTGAAGAAACCAATAGTATGTAGGAGCTGAGAATATGATATAAATATAGAATAAAAACCAACAACACAAACTACAGTCTCAGTCAGAGTGGATCTTCGACAAAACCTCAATACACACTGAACAGTTTACTACATCTGATGATTAGTTTTGTTTAGTTTGGCTGTTTGTTATATAAAATGGCAGAAAAAAGAACCCAGGGTAACGTCTTATATTGATTATTTTGTCTGAAGAAACAGTTAAAAACCTAAAAGATATTGAAAACATACAAATATAATAAACAGAGAAAAGCAGCAGCAAATCCTCACATTTGAGAAGCTCCAGGTATTAATGTGCATTCATATGTATCATTACAATATTTGTGACAGGTTGCATTGCTATTAGGAGGAAATGGGAGCTTTTATTGTGAAGAAACAGGAAACTTTGTGGTTGTCATTACTAGTAACTTTAAAAGTTTTCTTCTTGTTGTTGCCTTCATAAATGACTTACACGATTAAGCAATTAATAAAAACACTGATAACTTTATTCTGGCACTAATAATAATAATAATTTATCAAAATGAAATGAACAAACACCCTGTGTGAGTGCACCACGGCTGTGTGAAGGTCTTTGAATCTCTTTTGGTTTTCCTGCAGCGTCTCTCCGCTCTTCACTAAGCGGGTCGTTAGCCTCTCTGGCTTATTCAGTTAAAAACAGCTCACAGGTCACCGGGATGGACTCGAGCTGTCTGCGTCATTGCACTGAACTCAACAACAAAAGCATGAACCCTGCCGCCTTAAAAACAGCTGGTCCACCAGGTCAGCTCTGCCAAGTGGGACAAAGTCAAAGTGCCCCCGACAGGAAACACCAGTGGCTTTCCTGACAGTGGGAAAACAGATCTGTAGGGAGCTGGGAGGGGACGGTGACTCCTGTGTGTTCACTCACTGCTTCTCTATTATACAGAGTTCACAAGTTCCAACTAATGCTGCTGTGGCTTTGACGTCTCGCTATTGGTTGTTTTTAAGGAATTTTATTTGGGAGCAATAATGAACAATTTCCTACTTAGAGCTGTCCATTCTACCACTTTATATCCTAGTTTTTATCAAACATGCAGAACAGAAAGCTACCGTATACTGTAGGTGAGCTCGGGAGCTGACCAGTCATTCTGAGCACAACTGTCATAGGATACGATAACGGTCAATACCATGTTGAGCTTGCAAAATGATAACTTTAAAGCCTGTACACCTACAACCAATCTGAGCAAACGTGTAACGCAGCGCTGAGTAACACAAGACAGAGCTTGGACCGATTTTAGGAAAAAATGGCAACTCACAAACTTTCTCCAATTACAGCTAAACAGTTCACTACAATGTGTTTCTAAAAACATTTGAGGCTAAAAACTGGCAATGCAGCAACTAAATATTGATTCATACTTGGTCTGAATATAGTACAAAACCCGACCAGACCCAGGACGGGTGGTCAGACGGGGGTCATCCCTATGTTCCCCAGGTCCTATGTTCCCCGGGTTAGGGTAGGGTCCCCCGGTCCCATACAAAGCGGGGAACATAGGACCCGGGGAACATAGGACCCGAGGAACATAGGACCCGGGGAACATAGGTACGCTCCCGTCAGATGCAGGTCAGAGCAAATGAGACATCATGAGCTCGGCAGATTTGTCTGGTTCCCAGGCTGGAGATTTATAGTCTTAGAAAAAAAATGGAGAATGTCTAAAATGATATACAAATAAAATTGAATTGAATGTGTTCTGTGAGATTTATTTAGAAAGATCAGCTACAGAAAGCTAAACCAGCTGCATCGTTTAAACATAGCTGGTCCTGAAAAGATTAACTGAGTAACTTACAGAGAGGTAATTAACGTCATTCATTGATAATCAAATAATCATTTTAATCATTTATTAAAGGAAAACGTGAAATATTTGCTGGTTGCAGCTTCTCAATACCAGGATTTGTGGTTTGTCTCTGTTTCGTTCTAAACGGATTATCTTTGAGATTTGGACAAAACAAGATGTTTGTAGATATATCCTAGAGATATTTCAAGTGTGCAAAAAGTGTGTGTGTGTGAGAGAGTGTGTGTGTGCGTGTGTATGTTTACGCACTTCCCCTTGTGTTTCCAGTCCCAGTGGGTATCCAGGGAAATCTTCCCAGAGCAGAAGAGTCTCCTCCGTTTCCTCCCAGGCCAGACTGTCACAGTCATCCTCAAACTCACACTCCCTCCTGGACAAACACACACACATTAGACTACCAGGTTTAACATCAGTTTGTTTAAACGTGATTGGCCAAAACACCTACAGCTGATTCAGCATCCTGTGCATCTGCTCGTTGATCTGGTTGGCCGACGTGCTGCACGACTCCTCGTCTTTAGCCCCGCCTCCCTCACTCTCAGACATGCTCAGTTCGTCTCCGTCCCCGCCCTTCGCCGACTGCCCGCTCTGTTTTCTGGCCCGGCCTCCCAGTGTGGAGGGGGGCGTGGCCACCTGCTGGAAGGAGACGTGTTTATTTAAAAGTGAAGGTGGATGATTGGTTGCGGACACTCACAACCAAACTAACATACCTGGAACATGTTAATCATGTCCTCACAGTTCCTCTGCTGGGCCACGTCACAGAGGCGGGCGGTGATGTCGATGCGGCGGCAGATATCCATGTCCACCTTCATGGCCTTCTCCTGGATCTTACTGTCCAGATCTGACAGGTTCTAATGGAGAGACAGAAAGGACTCTCACTGAGCTCACATCCATCTAAATAATATAAACTGATGTGTTATGTTTACTGTCAGGACTCAGCGAGGTGTCCACCAATATGTAACCCCGGAGAACAGCTAGGACCAACCCGTCATGGCACACCCTGATCACACGCACTTTCGTCTACATCACAAAGACACAATACACCCTCTGCCAGCACATCCTTCATTATCTCTGATGAGAGCTTTAAAATAAGATTTGAATGGCTGAACTCGCCCTGGTAGCTCACCTGGCAGAGCTCCACCGCATGTACCAAGGCTGAGTCCTTGCTGCAGGATCCGTAGGTTCGACTCCGACCTGTGGGCCCTGCTGCGTATCATCCCCCCCCCCACCCCTCTCTCTCTCTTCCCCCCCTTTCCTGTCACTCTTAAGCTGTCACTATCTATTAAAAGGCAATAAAAGCCCCAAAATATTAAATATTAATATTAAAAACTCAAAACTAAATGAACCAAAACAAGAGAAAAATCTAAACTTTGGAATCTTCTTCATTTCTGAATCTTTTGCTCATTTTACCTGTTTAGAAGCTCAAAGCAGACTTACGTTGCTGACGAGTCCTTTAAAGAGGACTAGTTCAGCCTTCAGCTGCTTCACCCTCAGAGCCAGCTCATCCTGACACACCTCGCTCTCCTGCAGGTCCTGAAAAACACACACAGACACACACAGTATGAAGCTATGTCCCAAATACTCATATTACTGTTATTAATGACAGTGGTTGACAATATTATTTTCTGTCTAACTACAAATATAAGTTTCAGCTACATATCAGACTCCTGATTTCCTTCAATCGAAAAAATGATTCGCTATATTTCCAGTTTGATTAATTACAGAGGAGAATGGGGGCAGAGGATTGTTTCAGATAAGGCATGTCCTTGAAGTAAGGGACGTACATAGCGGCCATTCTCGCCACCATTCAATCAATTACTTCCCCAGAAATCCCCAGATGATTGGTAGGCGCTCTCTGATCTCATTGAGAGACTGTTATTCACTGTGTATTTTGTTATACACATATATTCGCATAGCCTTTTATCTATTTCAAAATAAAGATAACATGTGCCATAAAGCCAGTTGTTTCCTGCCACAAAGAGCATGATGGTTTTCATCCTTTGGAAGAAGAAGGGCCGAGATGTCTTCAGAAGAACTAGAGCTACATTTTGTAAGTAGGAAAATGTGGCTTTAATTAAAAGCTGATTGCATCTTAAAACCAAAACCTTTTCTGAAGAAAGAGAACGTTTTAATGGAGTTCTGAACTGGAGCAGTTCGGTAATACAGTCACTTTACCTCCTCCAGTTCAGCCACTTTCTCCTGCAGGTCCATTCTGGCTGTGTACTCCTCCTCCCATCTACAACACACACAGAAAGTAGGAATGTAATGATGCAGAGATTACACAGATAAATCAGCACTGTAGCATAAAAACAGACTTGATCATACACACTTCTTCAAAAGCCGTGACACAGGTGGTAAAATAGACAATAACAATCTCAGTGCACAACTGAACGTCTGGCCTCATGTGACAGTGGCCCAACTGTCAGGTTGGATGAGGTGGGTGAAGAGTTTCAGTCTGTCAAGTCGAGCTTCCTGATCTTTCTCTCTGCAGCTTCAAGGCAAAACCCACCTGTGGTTTCTTGACTGACCTACACTAAAGCTCCTCCTTCCACCACTAGTATTACTCAGCAACGCTTACATAAGAGAAACCATGGAGTGTGCATGTAGAGCCCAAAGAGCACGCTGCAGCACTCAGTCAGTCACTATGCAGAGGACAGAAATAGACGGAAGCTGAGCTGAGTATGATAGTCACTCTATTGTGAAGTCAAATACAAACTCATGGCAACATACGAAAAGAAATACATGCAGAGTGATTGTGACAAAAGGTAACACTCACGAGGGGTGGCAAAAGGTCAAAGGACTGAATCCTGATCACTTTGGTAGGGATGCACCAATCCAAAGTTCTCTTCAATAGTAATTCCAGTAACTCAACTCAGGAAGTACCAATCCAATACCAGTGCTGTCTCTCTCCCACGTTTAATTGAAAACCAATATACCTCTCTGCATGAAACTGACTGGAATGATTTTTATACGAGACAACACGAGGCCAGAGATTACTGTGGCAATAAAAACTGAGTTGAGAGCAGCTTCAGCAACAGACTCATTCAACCACGCTGCTCTAAGGAACGATACAGAAAATCATTCCCCCCCACTGTTATAAGACTGTATAACTCATCTGCCTCTGTCAGATCCACAATCACAGAACTGGACTAAATATAACTGGGGAACATATACTATCATATGTGATATGTGTTAATATAAACCATGTTGATATTATATATCATATTTATACAATATATTATTATTATATTAATAATATTATATTGTTATTACTATTATTATTATATGTTATATATTACAATTATTACTATTACTATTATTATTATTATATAACAATATATAAAATATTATCTATTGTATGTATATCTTCTTGTATAGTCAAGTATCTATTATACATATGCTATATATCATATCATATCTTGTGTGTCTATATATATGTGTGTGTGTGTGTGTGTGTGTGTGTGTGTGTGTGTGTGTGTGTACATATTATATATATTGAGTATATATATTACAGTATGTATGTATGTATGCACACTTTGCACAGGCTGAATATATGACACATGTTTACATTATATTATCAATCAATATTAATGTATATTATCTGTGTATACATGTATATATCTGTTCAGTCATCATATCATATATACATATTATTATTATATTATAAATAGTATTAATATTATCATTATATACTGTTATTATTATATATCATTATTAACAATAACACTGCCATCATGTGATCAGTACTATTACCACCATCTTGCAACTAAAAACTAAAAACTTTGCACCTTACCTACCTATTTATCTTTTTTTATATTTTCTATCCAAGTATTATATTCTATTGTATTTGATTGTATTTTAATGTACCTGGCTGCTATAAGGACCCAATTTCCATTTGGGGATTAACAAAGTCTGTCTGTCTGTCTGTCTGTCTGTCTGTCTGTCTGTCTGTCTGTCAGCGTCACCAATCCGGCACACTGAATTTACTTTTCTTCTCTGCCAACAAAAGGTCAGAATTTCTACTTGTCCAACCCTTCAGTTCATAAAAAGGAGCCTTTAAAACTACTGATAACCAGATCCCTGTCAGTCTCTATAATTTGACATTAATGCTTAAATGGCCACCATACAGTAGCCAATAACTGGTGCCATCCTCAGGCCAAACCTGTTCAGTTTATGCCCTACTAGTGCTGACGATAGCAAACACATTTTTGACCTTATTCCAACAAATGCAAATACAAAGCTGATTCCTTTTCCTAAATACTAGGGGTGTAAGAAAATATCGATACACTTGAGTATGGTGATATTGCCTTTTATGATACTGTATCGATTCTCAAAAACACTGTATATTTATTTTAAATTAACAGTTTACATGCAAATATTTGTTTAAACTTTATAACTTTTTTTATTTATTTATTTTTAAATCACACTATATCACTAAGCTCACAGTATCGCTATATATTTAATTGTATTCCCTGTATCTTGATGCATATCATATCACCAGGCTCTTAAATAGCATCACTAAATCATCTCAGCTGCTGTTCCGTCTTCTTTTCCATCTTTGAATCCTTTTTGCTGAGCTGCTGTAGCACTGAAATTATGAGATCACGTCTCGGCTGGCTGACCTCAGATCAGATTGCCAACTTAAGTGTACACCTCACATATAGGTTACATGCATTGAGTGAAAGGTGACTCCATGCAGATTTTTGGGTGTTTATACTTATAAACCTCAGATGTGTGTCACATATCAGCTGCAGTGACCAGCAGACGGAGAGAAAGAAACCCTTAGATATGATAAAGAGAGACAGCAGAGAGAGAGATGATGTCCTTGTTGCTCTGATCTGTTTGTCAGTCTCAACACGTGGCTCTGCAGTGAGGCTGCTGGGTGGCATTATGTTTTACTGGATACACAGACGCTGGTTTGTTTGTAAAACTGATGATGGCATAACCGCTGGATGATGCAAAAGCTTGTAAAAAGTGTCCATCTGAATAATAAAAGCTTTCAGGTAATTACACAAGCCATTGGGTTTTATCTGGGATTTCTCCCGTCGGTAGTACGAGACCAAGCTGCTGCACTGCACTCAAACTGTGATGTCAGCAGACTGGGACGTCATGCAGACATCAATTTAAAGTCTTTAGAAAAAAAGTGTCGGCCATTGCGACAGTCTCCTACCAACAGTCAACTCTGACTTCCTTTAAAGGAACAGTTCAGCATTGCGGGATGTACAGTTTCTTGGCGAGAGCTGATGAGAAGATCGATACCACTCTCATGTCTCTGTTTTTAGGGATGGTACTGGAACTTGGAGGCAGTTGGCTTAGTTTACATAAAGACTGAAAGCAGAGGGAAACAACTAGCCTGCCTTCCATTCTCTGTGCTCACAAAGATAATCCTTACCTGGCTCTTTGTTTTTAGCCTTCAGACATTAGTGGTACTGATCTTCTCCTCTAAACTCTCAGCAACAATGCAAATAAATGTATTTCCCAAACATCTGAAAAATAACAAAAAGAAAACATAATCCCTGCTAACACCACATATATGACCACAAAGCAAATGTAGGAACTATTCATTATTGTGGAATATCTCCTTTAAAGCAGGAGTGAAGTCTGAAGTGTACGGAAATTAATTGAAGCCAGTGGCGGTGGCTCCTTCACTGACACCATCTCTCGGCTCGTTTCTTTCTGTGCCGAATGAAAACAGTTGGTCATTACCTTTTATCTGGGTCTAAAGCCTTCTTTTTTCCTCTCCTTTCTTTTCTGGCATCCCGACTTACGTGCAGGTCCTGGCACAGCAAGGAAATTCCCTCCAACATTAGCCAGAAGTTCATTAAGATCAGCTGTTACCAATGCACTTTTCACATTTTTAACTTATTATGAATTCTGAAACAAGCTACATTTCACTAGAGCAACAATAAATACAAAGTTTCTTGTTTTATGAATTAATAGGGAGTATTTGGCTAAGCCCCCCCCTTTATGGTTGGCCCTGTATTTAGCGAACAACGACACAGCTCCAGACAGCGACACAACACTCCTGCTACAACAGCTCAGAACAACAGCATAACCTGGCAAACCAGACAGTTAGCTGAGCCTTCGTTGGCAAGTACTCTAACACAACCTGACACACAAATCCTGGCTGGAATAGTGTCATGTGCTCGCTCCAAGCCACTTTGTTTGTTTCCTACTTACTGAGCCAGGGCTGTGTACAAACACCAGCGCACACAGACAGTACGGACAGCCAGCAGACTGTGACGAGATATTCACTGAATTCGACAAAAAGTGCATTGGATTATAATCGCTTACCCCACCTTTAATAGCACAGTGCATGGGTGGTAGCAGCATCAGCAAACTATTAGTACCACAAACAAGCAACCTGGGTGGCCTCTTTGTATCTATGTACTTTTATCTCTCTCACTCTATTCCCCTCACACACACAGTATGACTCATTGCATCCTCACAGTGCATCTATTAAGAGGTGATATCGGTAAGGTGAGAGAGTTGACATTTGTGAGCATTTAAGCCTGTAGAGACAAACAACTGTGTGCATTAACACTACAGGGCCAAAAGCATGTGGTCAAACTCTTTAATCCTATTAAGGGAAGTCTTCATGCTACAGCATGCTCAGATATTTTAGACAGTAGTGTTTCCAACAAGTGTGTGTTTGTGCCTTTCCTGTTAAACATGACAATGCTCCAAGCCATAAATAAATGGTTTTCCTAGTTTGGTGTGGAAGATGTGGACTGGCCTCAACCCCATCCAGCTCCTTTTGGGATGAACTGGCACAGAGACTGTGAGCCAGACCTGATCACCCAGCATCAGTGTTGCTCTTGTGGCTGAATCGGAGCAAATCTGTGCAGCCAGGTTCCAACGGGATGGGAAATGTTCCCAGAGGAGTGGACGCTGTTACAGCTGCAGATTAATGCATGTGGTTTTGGAATCACATATCAAATAATCACATAAGGGTGTCAGGTTTGGCTGTCCACATATTTTTGGCCACGTATAACGTGTTTTCTGATCAAAACAACGTGACGATGAAGCTTCATTCAACTGAATCGAATTGACAGAAGCAAAAGAGAAAGAAATCCGAAGATGGGTGTGTGGCTTTGGGGATGAAGATGTTAATGATGATGTCAGCAGCTGCCTGACGCTGCAGAGGCTCACATGGGACAGAGGGGGGGTGAAACGAGGCAGGCAGAAGGGCAGAGATGGATGAGGAGTCAACAGGGACAGCAGCAAACAATTTAAAAGAGAAACAGAGAACAAGACAGCAGAGAGGGAGTAATGTGAGGAGAGAGAGAGAGAGAGAGAGAGAGAGAGAGAGAGAGAGAGAGAGAGAGAGAGAGAGAGAGAGAGGCAGAGGGTAAAAAATAAAATGAGAGGAGACAGAGGAGCGATGGCAGACTGGGTGACATCACTGTTGGCGGTCACAGGCCAGTGCTGCATTGCAGGTACCGGGACAATACCCAGCAAGGAAGAGGAGGAGGAGGAGGGGAAGGGAAAGATAGAAAAGAGGAAGAGAGAGACAGAAAGAGACTAAATGAAAAAGAGCAGGAAAGAAAGGAGGGGGAAGATGGGAGACAACAGTGTGAGAGGAAAACAACAGCTCATGTTAAGCTTTTCCCCCCCGACACTTGCTCCCTTCAGACGCACAGGCAGCCAAACATTCACAGTACACAAGATAAAGAACCATTTAACCTTACCGGAAGATCTGGGAGATAGTTTCCCCTCACTGTAAATTTCCATTTGAAAGTTTTCTTTTAATTTAATTCAATATTCCTCAACAAAGAAACAGCCCTCAGTAAAATGAGGGCAACCAGGCCATGTCCTCGGTATCAGAAAGTATAACTGAACTAAAGACAGCATGTTGGTTGAGGGTGGTGAGGGGTATTTTGGGGAACTTGGGTCCTCACTACTGCCCTGCATAGAAACACAGAAGGCTCCTGGATCATATAGGTTTATGTTACGTTAGTTTTAATCATTCAACTTTGGTACAGTATATGGCTTTACACACTACAATACCCATGAGCCTTAACTTTCATCGATAATTGCTATGCAGCAAAACCATCAGTTTCTTCAACAGACTTGTTTTTTAAATCAGGTTTCACTTTGACTTTAGCTCGCCACTAGCAGTATTGAGCTCTCTGATTGGATGTTTCTTTCTAAAATGCACCACAGTTGACTTCTCTCCTTAGCTTTTCATGTCCACAAGCTTGTACCTCTGACTTTTTACATCAAAGCCTTGAAGTGCTCCAACTATCAGTCATTTGACATTGAGGAAAAATAAACTTTAACTGGACACCTCAAATCATCCTCCCACTTGATAGGTCTATGGTTTCATGTTGTGGAATAAAAACTACAGCACACAACTGTAAACACCTGAACCACTTCAAGCTCACGTTCATAGCCTTCGAAAAGATGTAAAACCTGAATGCAGTAAAATGTAAATGACAAGCACAGCAACACACAGGTCAGAGAGTGAGTTGTTGCTGTTCAGTAAAACATCCTGCTGCTTCTGAAATCGATGTGACTGAAGGTTTGTCCTGCAGAGGCGTCCTGCCTCAGCACGCTGAAGCACAAAGTAGCGAGGTCAGTGATTTTTAGCATAAAGCAGCAGTGGGAGAATGTGTGTTAATGTGTGTCAGTGTACGAGTGGGGGACAGGGTCAGTGCTGACAAAAAGCTGCGTGCTGAGCAAAACCCTCTCACGGACAAGACAGAAGTTTTTTTACACACTAATTTTTCTTCTGCTGCTTAAAAGTAACATAAATGCTGCCATTAATGTCCTGACGCTAAATACTTTTGTCTCTTTTATATGCTGTTCCTTTAAACCAATCGTGTAAGCTCCTGTTGTAAAACAGAAAAATTAGAAACTCACAGGTGATGAAGGTCACAAAAAAATAAAGAAGAATTCAATAACTACAGGTTTAATTAGGTAAAGCTCTAGAAACAACAATCATAAAGTCATATATGCAGTCATATATCTGCTCAAATCTGAGAGCTCAGATACCAAACAGAACTAGTTACCCCATATATGTATAAACTATTACTGTATGTGTTATATCAGTTTCAATATGTGCTGTAAAGATTGCCTATAATACTTTTTGTTTAAGTTGAATTGAGAAACAGATGAACAGATCAATAGAGAATTAAACACCAGAGACATAAAAAGGTCCCTCTCACTTCGATCCACAAAGGAATACACTTCCAGTTGGTTTTTATGACATTGAGCTCTTGTTCTCATAATGCACTTTGCTTCACTTTGCAAGTCGCTTTGGACAAAATCATCTGCCAAATGAAAGTCACGTAATGTAAAAAAAAAAAAAAAAAAAAAAACATCCTGTAAAGCACATCTTGCCATAAAGCTGTCCTGCTCTTTGATTTGCAACACTGCCCTCGATGACCTGATACAAGCAGAGACATTACAGTGATCACTGCCTCAGCATGAACTGTGTGGCTCAACTCTGCTGTCAGGCTTCAGCTTTAAAAGAGAGATAAATTAATAATTGAATATAGAAATTATTAAACATCAGCGACTTCATGTATTAGAATAAAAAAACAGCTCCAGACGCCAAAACTTTCCATTTTGATTCCTCTATCTCTGAATGTGTGTGGTGAGTCATCCAGGTGCTGGCCAATATTTCAGTTATCAGTTTTATTGACGCCGTGATGACAATATGATCACATTATGTTATTATTTCACTGAATGTGACTCTTTAAATGACTGATTTCAAGCAATTCATAAGTTTATGTGAATGTGGTGTGTTTTTGCTGTAAATAAATATCAGTAAAATATTATTTTTTTAATGTCAGACACACTGAGCAGCCCTGAGATATCCTTCCTTAATAAGTTGCTCACCCTGACACAAGAATAAACCTCTGCAGGAAACACACACACACACACACACACACACACACACACACACACACACACACACACACACAACAAACAGTGCACACACAATCAGAAACCAGGCACTTGAACGCCACACTGTGCGCATTAGAACCGGTAACCTTTTATACAGTGCAGATAAAAACAGCCCTTACCTCCTCTTGTACTCGTCCCTCTCTCTCTTCACCTTGGCCAGCACGTTGTACAGGGCCCTGATCTCAGGTGTGATGGTGTCGATCTGGACCCCGACACCGTCCGGGTGCGTCCAGGAGACTCCGGGGCCCGTGACGCACGACTCCCTCCCGGTACCGAACCTGCGGGTATGGTTGAAGGACCAGATCGTCCCCGGGAGGAAGCGCGGGGGAGGAGGGGGGACGTTGTTGGTGTTGGTCCCGGCGTGCGAGGCGTACCTCTCGTTGATGTTGGTGATGGTTTTGGACGGGTCGGTGGGACTCAGGGCCGGGCTGATGGATGTGGTGAGGTTGGAGTTTGAGTCCGTGATCGGGTTGAGGTTGTTCCCCAGCAGGTATTTGTTGTCAAAAAGAGGAGGAGGGTTCAGGGTCGGAGAGAGGAGGCCGCCGGGCAGGTAGGCCGAGTTGTTGGCGTTGTGGAGAGGGATGAGGCCCGGTCTGGATGGAATAGGCCCAATAAATCCAGTCTGGACCCCCATCTCTTTGGTCAGCGGCTTCTGGTGGGCTTCCCCTGCGCAGTTATCCTCCAGAGCCTGCTGCAGCTGCTTCTCCAACACCTTGTTCCTGCGCTCCAGCTCGTGCACTTTGGCCAGAAAGCAGCGGAAGCGCAGGTTCAGGGTCTTCAGGACGCTGATGTTGGATCCCAGGTCGTTGCGCAGCGCAGTGGCCGCCGGGGGCACGCGGTGCAGGGGGCTGCTCAGGTGCAGGTAGGCGAGGCCCGACGGCGGCAGGGCGCCCAGGTCCAGCCCGGACAACCCATCGGGGCCGAACCCACCGTGGTCCCCCAGGAAGTAGCCCGGCTCCGGGATGGCAGAGTCGTTCTGGCCCGTCATCTGGTGGTGGTGCTGCTGCGGGGCCAGAAAGCCACTCTCCCCGAGAACCGGATTCATGCTCGAATAGGAAAATCTGAAGTGCTCGAAATCAGGCATGAACCCAGACTTCTTTATGCTCAACACGGCAGGTAATTCCGTCTAAAGTCGTCAATTATTGTCCAGAACCGGAATCAGGCCCAGCAGCCTCGCCTCAGAGTCCTCCTCCTGGTTTCACCCGAGGATCACCTTTATGCAGAGGAGCTGTGAGCTGAAGTCAGATAGTGCGGTGTAAGGAGGATGCTTTACGGGCCTGAAGTCGCAGCAGAATAACAAACTCCCACTGGGATACTACAGTAAACACATGCTCATGCGCTACACGGAATATATAAAAATAAAATAACATAAAGTACCACAGGGTGCCTCTAAACTCGCAGACACACAGCTGGTCCCTGCAGCAAAATTACATTACCGAGTTCACTTCAACGCAGGAACCAATTTCGGGACGCGCACCGGTCCTAAAATGTTTATTCTAAGCCTTAGAATAAAGCGACGGATGTATTTTGGCGCTTCAGCGCAGATTTAAGCACCATACCTGTTAGTCAGAGGAGGAAAAGGCGAACTTTGGCACCAGATAGAGAGGTTAAACGGGTCCAAGCAGAGTGTGGAGCAGCGGTGCAGCAGAGCTCTGGGATAAACACACTGAATGACTGCGGCGTTCACTGACCGTACTGACGGTGGTAGAGGAGCACCGGGCAGTACCGTAGTGAGCACAGTAGAGGCGCACCTGTGCTTTAAAACGTCCGTTATCATTAGATAACAAAAGCGTTTTAAAATATAATATAATCCTTTTTGTAACACATACAAACAATATATACATGTACAAGTTTTGGGATTTTCTTATTTTTGCAGTATGGGAGTTAGTTAGACTTCACTTTCAAAATGAAAAAATATGGTTTATAATTGGCATTTAGGATCAAATTGATGATATAATATGAATTTCTTTTGGTAGAGAGGTAAGAAAAAAATATATATTGTAAGAAACTTACAATGAAATGAAATGAAAGCAGAAATATGTTTCCAAAAAGAAAAAGAATGGGAACAAGACCAAAATAAATAAAGTGAAATGATAAATCTAATGGAGATAAAAACAATTCATTATTTTAAAAGACACTTCCTTGACCTTATTTAAAATAAAATATTTAGACAGTAGACACCATATTTTCCTCCAGTCCAGGTCTGGATAGAGGCCGATGGTGGGTAACGAGTGAATGAACCAGTGAACACATAAATCTAAATGTAAACGTACAAACAAAAAAGCTTTTAAATGTGTAACTATTGTAAACTTTACAAGAAACATTTTCAATTTTGTATTATTTATGTTTTATCTTTTAATCACCTTTAGTCTCCCTGGCTGTAACGTTTTTTTAACTTACAGGTTCAATAAAGTTTATTTCTATTTCGAAGCACTGTAGAGCTGCAGAAATGCAAAAATCTTGTTCTTCAGATTTAGGAAAACATGTTTGTTTGGTAAAGAAATTTCTGTCACATCATCATGATTTAATTGTTTTTTTAGTGAAAAAATACAATTTCTGATGCAAAAATAATCACTAATGCAAAAAAATGGCAATATGATGTTTTCACCCTATCATGCAGCCCTAGGTGAGACCTGTATATGACTGAGTGAGACTACAACAGATAAATACTCTGCAGTTGTTTGAGATTTCTTTTTTTTGGGGGGGGGGTTAAACCCTCCTCTGTCCAGCCCCCCACCCTCTTCTCTGGGTGTCGGTTTAACATTGAAACAGGCCTGATCTTATTTTGGCTTTTCTCCCAGAAACTAATATAATTTTATCGTCTGCACCAAACTCACTGACACTCGTCTGGGCAGCACTGAAAGAACAGCTGCAAAGTTATATCTTTTAACTGCCCACTGTTTAAATTAAAGTATTTTGACTAAGTGCACCAATACAATACAGACAGGGGCAAACATTTACTCACAGCTGTGGTTTTCTTACTATCACAAAAATCTCTGCAGTAAACAGGGTCCATTTCCTCTCAAAAAGCATCTCTCTCATAGTTTGAGGAGCGGTAAGACTATCATGATGGATTGTTAGAAGTAATTAATGGAGACAAATGATTTATATAAAATTATGAAGAGTGATGTCTCTCTTTAAAGGTGTCTTCCTGTGTCTTCCTTTCTGTGCTGCCTTCCTCTCTGGCTTTCAGTCTAATAATGTTCGACAAATTAACTAATTGTATTTTGGCCGTTCTCCCAGGAATTAATTTCTTGTTTTCCACCAAACTCAATGTCACTTGTCTCAGTAGGATCATTAGAGCAGCTGTTGGATTCTGCCTGAAAAATGCTCAACAGCCCCACTCTTTGAACTAAATATGTGACTGAAGAGGACTGAATTAGTGCAGATTATTGAATGACAATAAGTATTAATGTATGCTATGTTGTCATTTGAACCCATCATTAATTAATACTGTCTAAAGAAAGGAGGTATAAACACTAATTTTGCACAGCGAGTACAATCATACATCATAAACTTTGCAGTCTTTCCACAAACTGATGACTTTATTATCATGTTCAGTGCAACAAGACCATTCAGTGCAATACAGTTCAGTGATGGATCTACAAACACTGCTTACTGCAGTCCTCACTGCTGGACACAACACTGGTGACTTTATCATATAAAAAGGTATTATTATCATTATTAGTGTATCATTATTATTATTATCATTATTGTTATCATTATCAGCTAGACGTTGTTGTTGAAGAGTTTGCTCCCGGGGGGGTAGATGGCACGGCATCCAGTCACAGGTGAGGAGATGGAATCATGGGAAGGAACAATGAGTCGAAGCAGGACTTTACTCCTTGGTGAACATGTGGTGGACCAGGTCGCACACACGGTTGCTGTATCCGAACTCGTTGTCATACCTGCAGACAAACAGAATATAGATTAAGGTTAGAGACAGAGTGGGAAATAAATATGAGGTATTTATGAATGGAAAAACCTGGCTCATGAGACGGATGCATGCTCTGTAGAGTGGCATGTAGCTTTTGTCAGGGTTATATCGTGAAATGTGCAAGTTTTAAGAAATTATTCCTTTAATGATAAAGTCTTAAGTGCACAGGAAAGTGAGATTTCTAAAAAAAAAAAAAGCACTGTCAGCACAGAATTGAACAAAGAAGCTATAACAATATGGTTATAGACCTTTATAAACTAAAATATATATATATGGCTATACTTAAAAAAAAAAATTGCTTGTTAAAAGTTAGAAAGCGTTAACTCACCATGAAACCAGCTTGACAAAGTGGTCGTTGAGAGCGATGCCGGCGCCGGCATCAAAGATGGAGGAGCGAGGGTCACTGTTGAAGTCTGTGGACACAACCTGAGCAAAGAGAGGCAAACATAACGCTTTATACAGTACAGTGGATAAAGAGCTGTGTCCATATGGTCAGTAAGAACGCTACTGTGTGTCATTTTTGATCCTACATGAAACTTGGGTCAGTAACCAGGTCCTAACCAGGTCCATGAATGTAAAGTGTTCTAATTCAAGTTGCAGGGACAAGTTGCTGACGCCTTATTGTAGATGTGCTGCCATCTAGTGGTTCATGTATGGCTCTACATGAACATAACATCACAAAAACTACACCTGACTCTCTGAATTATACATGAGTGTCTTGTTGGAATATGTGGACATCTATTCTGTACAGTACCTGGTCCTCTGTATATCCCAGAATTCCCCTCATGGGTCCCTCAGCAGCGGCCTTGATAACCTTCTTGATGTCGTCGTACTTGGCCTGAAGGACGAGATGTTTTAATTAAACTAAAGGGAAGATTAACATTGTAGACGAGAAACTGAAGGTTAGGTTTCAAAATGGCAGCTTGATTTTAGGTGTTTATTATAAAGTGTGAACAGAATTATCTTTCAAACGCAGGGATGCGAATGACAAATGTGTCAAAAGTCATCACTTTAGAGACAGAGATACTTACGGGCTTCTCGAGACGGACAGTCAGATCAACGACAGAGACGTTGGGGGTGGGGACACGGAAAGCCATACCGGTCAGTTTGCTGTAAGAACAAGACAGACAAAACTAATTGGTTACAGATGATTTTAGTTTGGTTTTATTCCCCTTAACAGCCCAGATATTGATCCCCACAGGGAAATGATCTCTCCTCAGAGGTCTATGGTCTGTCCTAATGCTTGCAATAATAAGTACTCCACTGCCTACTTGTACATGTATTTATAGTGTGTTGAGATAACACATTTGGCCACGTTTTATAATTAAGTAGATCATCTTAGAGCTCACACAAATACATGAATGAAATGTTGTCCTTCAAACTTATGTCAGGATAAATGCTTTTTCATCATCGATATTAGGATAGGCCATTGGAAGAGACTGAGCGTCTTCATCAAGGACGGTTCAGCAGGCTTGGTAAACCAGCGTCCGACCATAACTCAGGTCAAATTGCCCAAACCTAAATAAAACCTGGTAGAAGTCAGTCGTACCCGTTCAGCTCGGGGACGACCTTGCCCACAGCCTTGGCAGCTCCGGTGGAGGCGGGGATGATGTTCTGGGAGGCACCACGTCCATCCCTCCACAACTTACCAGAGGGACCATCAACGGTCTTCTGTGTGGCGGTGATGGCGTGGACTGTGCTCTGGAGGAGAACAAGCAGAGAATAAAAGACAGATCCATGATTTATGTGCTGAATAAGATTGACATAAGATATAAGATGACACTTGTGCTGGGGAATGTTGGCTGTTAAAGGTAGCTGGTCTGATTCTTCTTAAACACTGGGAAATATAATTTATCTGAAGAATATGAGTCAACAAACCACACTGACTCTAATATTTCAGCTTTATAAACCCAAAACATTGTTTGCTTTCGTGTTTCACGTTGAGAACTTTTTGACTGCTGGTCAGACTAAGTAACCTTATCAGAGGGCATTACTTTGGGCTCTGGTAGTTTGTAATTAGCATTCGTCAACAATGCCTATAAAATGTGAAAATGACCTTGAAATGATCACTAATGTGACCAGTTGACTAAAAGGTTTCAGGCTTGTTTCCTTCGTTCCTTAAACGCTCTTTAATAACAGACTGGAACAGGATGCAGTGTAACTGCTGTGTGTGATTTTTAATCAGTGAAATTAGTTCTTTACCATGAGACCCTCAACGATGCCAAAGTTGTCGTTGACGACCTTGGCGATGGGAGCCAGGCAGTTAGTTGTGCAGGAAGCGTTGCTATGGAGACAAGAGTATATGTTACAAACTATACAAAGTTACCATTTTGTGCAATTATGTGCGTAGTAAAGCTAAAACTTGGGACACTCAGTACATTTTAAGAGATGATCTTGGTTTGACATTCAATCTTTTTTGGCAGAGCACTTAAAAGCAACCAGATGTTCACATCTGTCCTTGCCAGATTTGAAAACACTTGACATCCTGTGTCACACTGACAGGGTGAGCAGGTGATGTCACTGCAGCTGAACAGATTTACTTTGTAACTGACATAAAACTACAGAGCATTTTGAAAAGTTTAAAATGAGAGAATTCAGCAGAAACTCACCTGACAACCTTCATGGAGTTCTCGTACTTATCGTGGTTGACGCCCATGACGAACATGGGAGCGTCAGCACTCGGAGCAGAGATCACCACCCTCTTAGCTCCGCCCTTCAGGTGAGCCTACAGGGACACACAAG